CCATGGCGTGCCCTCCCCCCAGGCTTTGGTGGAGACCGTGGACAAGCTGCTGCGGCCGGAGGCACTGGAGTCGTGGAAGGACATGAACGCCACGGAGCAGGTGCACACGGCCACCATGCTGCTGGACATCCTGGAGGAGGGCGCCTTCCTGCTGGCCGACAACGTCAAGGAGCCCGCGCGCTTCGTCACCACCCGGCAGAACGTGGGTGAGTGGCGCCCGGACACCTGGGTCCTCCAGGGGCCACTGGGGGAAGGAGGGGGGCAGGATTCTCTTCCTGGCCCAGAAAGGCAGACCCCAGGAATCCCCCCGTGTCCTGCTCCCCCAGAGGCAGAAGGAACCTCTCACCCAGATCCTCTAGGGCTTGGGTGGGGAGGGGGCCGGTGAGGCAGAGGCCCCAGTGTCCCCAGCACCAATAGGCAAGTGGGGAAGATGAGGGTGAGCACGGCAAAGGGGAGCCGGGGGGGTGGCTGGGCAGTTGGTGTCGCAGAGCAAACTCCACCCCGGTGCAGGGCAGATGGTGGGTAATGCATGCAGGAAAGCTGCGTGTGTGGGAGATGCGTGGGCATGTGCGGTGCATGGGCAGGGTGGATGCGTGTGTGATGCATGGGCAGAGTGGATGCGTGTGCGGTGCATTGGCAGGGTGGATGTGTGTGCGGTGCATTGGCAGGGTGGATGTGTGTGCGGTGCATGGGTGGGGTGGATGTGTGTGTCATGCATGGGCAGAGTGGATGCGTGTGTGGTGCACGGGCAGGGTGGACGCATGTGCGGTGCATGGGCCGGGTGGATGCGTGTGCGGTGCACGGGCAGAGTGGATGCGTGTGCAGTGCATGGGCAGGGTGGATGCGTGTGTCATACATGGGCAGAGTGGATGCGTGTGCAGTGCATGGGCAGAGTGGATGCATGTGCGTTGTATAGGCAGGGTGGATGTATGTGCGGTGTATGGGCAGGGTGGATGTATGGGCAGTGTATGGGCAGGATGGATGACGGATGCATGTGCAAGGGGTACGTGTGCCCAATGCATAGGCAAGACAGATGTGCATGTGATGAATGTGTGTGATGGGTGCATGAGCCTGAGGGATGCCTGTGCAGGATGGATATGAGTGTGATGCATGTGCAAGGTGGATGCATGTACAATGTGTGTGGGGGACAGAAGTGTGTGTGATGCGTGTGCAGAACAGATGTACATGTGGGACAGTCACATGTGGAGGGTGAATGTGTGCGTGGGATGGATACATGTGTGATGTGCAGGGGATAGATGTGTGTTTGGGACAGCTGTGTGTGTGATGTACGTGTGAGATGGATGTGTCTGTAGGGTGGATGCAAGTGCAGGGTGGATGTGTGTGTGATGCATGTGTGGCACGGATGCACATGAAGGACAAATGTGTGTGCAATGTGTGTGGGACAGATGCATGTGTGATGTGTGTGCAGGCCGGCGGGTCTGCATAGCTGGGGCAGCAGGCGTGTGCGGGACAGATGCGTGTGCGATGCGTGTGCTGGGGGCCAGGCGGCGGAGCTGGGGCCCCCCGTCTGCCCCCCTCACGGCTCTCCCCCGCAGTGCTGGAGGTGACGGTGCTGAACACGGAGGGGCAGGTGCAGGAGCTGGTCTTCCCGCAGGAGTACGCCAGCGAGAACTCCATCCAGCTCTCGGCCAAAACCATCAAGCAGAACAGCCGCAACGGTGAGCGGGGGCCGGGACCCCGCCCGGGGCCTGGGGGGGATCCCCAGGGAGCAGCACTAACCAGCCCCCTCTGCCCCCAGGGGTGGTCAAGGTCGTCTTCATCCTCTACAACAACCTGGGCTTCTTCCTGTCCACCGAGAACGCCACCGTCAAGCTGAGCGGGGAGGCAGGTGCCCCCAGCCCGGCCCTGGTCCC